AATTAAGTAGACACTTCGTTCTGGGCACTATCCATCGGCAAAATTTTCTTTTGTTTCGATTGCAAATTTCGTTGTTGTGATCTGTATAAGTTACGATGGGGTTGGCCTATCTTTATAGATAAAAACCCCATAAAATAAAAATAATAAAAAAAATAAAGCTCACTAAGTTTTTATGTTGATTTGATGAGGTTTATTATACATCGATACTACAATTCATACAAGTAGAATCAACAACGTGGTAAAGGAAATTTGTAAATTTTAAACTGTTTTTTTATACACCTTTAATTGTATTGAGTACTAATCTGTATATAACATATTAATCTCATTTACATTTACATACATACATTAGCTAAAAGGTAAGAGGTAAAAATATATTTGTTATTAATAAATAAAAATATATTTTTACCTAATAAATTTGTAAAACAGCAACTTGCACAACAACTCTACTTTTTATTAAACTCATTAATAGGATTAAAATTAGACTTTAGTTATTAGGTACAATAAAATCTGTGGTACACGGTACAAGATTTTATTGTACATACCTAATGCACTTCTTAAAAGAGCAACAGGAGAACTTTTAACATTTCTTAAAAGAAAAATAAAACTTCTTGTAGCAGTGGATTTCTTTGACAAGCATGGTAAATTGTTTTAGATGATATCATTCAGAAGCGAAAATATTATGAGTCAGTTTCAATTAAATTATTTTGTTTAATCATTACAGTAAACAAAAATTCAAAAGATGATAGAGTCGAGATGCCGAGATATTCATTCACTCACATTTGTTAAAAAATACAATAATGATGTTTTGTTTCGCAAATACGAACGCAAAGTTAGGATTTTATTTAAAGATTCGTGGAAACAAATACCGAAAGTTTACAAAGGGACTTTTAACGAGAATAACTGGGGTTTTGAAATACTAAAAGCTCCTTAAAAATCGTTTGAAATGGCACAGCGTTTAATATACAGCAAAGAGTTTATTGGGTACGCTATTATTAACTTAGCTAAGTTGTTATAAGCATTAGTTTTTAACAATGTCCAAACAAATTAGTCCTTTGCTACCAATGCTTTATAAATTTAATGCAAAATTTTGTATGATCTTTGATAGCGACAATAAATTAACACACGTCTAAGGCTACGTACCAATAATCATAAAAAAATATTAACGTTAAAAAATCTATAATTAAAAAAATATATTTTTCAAACAAACTAATTAAGTAAAAAAGAAACAAAATTTGTAACACCCTATACAACTGCAACTGACTGATTCATACATTCCGAGACTTTTTCATTCGTTGCCACAGCGTCGCATTACAAGCCACTCCTTCTAACAGTATGTTTTGTCTCTTTTAAATTCATTCAACCCATTCATATGCTTTGTGACCTTTACAAATTAAGTTTACGACAGTTTTATACGTAAGGGTGTTCTAAAATTGTTTTTTTGGAAAATTTAATAACTCTAATGTAAATGTTTAATACAATTTAAAAAAGTTATCCTCTATATGTGTGTTCATTTATTGTCGCGATTGTAAAGACACGCTGTATATTATAAAAATGGAAAATTTATTATATGCGTGGGAAATAACTTACTTTTAGCAAACTACCTAAAACTCTTTTCACTCGGTTATTGCACATCAACATCGTATAAGCAGCGATATCGGACCAAATTTTCATGATTAATATGGGTATCCGGTCGGGGACATGTTCCGAAAGTAAATCGGAGAAACATTTTCCTTCCTTTCAAAAGAATGTAAGAACAGTTTACGATAAAATACGTTAGGCTTTCACGTTACTCGGAAACGAAAGTGACATGGTTAAGCATTACTTTGGAGTAAATAAAAATTGAATGAGGCTTTTTTCAAAAGAAAGCGAGGCAAAGGAAAAAACTGGTCACCTTATAGTAAGTTATCACGATCAGGGGCCATCGAGTTACACAACATTGAGTTTTTTATATGTGCTATATTTGCATATTATCATTTGTCTTCAAGTAGTTTTTAGCGTTTGTTACTGAATGTAGCTTTAAAACATGTAGAAAAATTACGAAAAGATTGTCGCCGCTGTGGGAATCGAACCCACGTCTTCGGCATTCGCGGCCTGACGCCCTAGCCACTGAGCTAAACGGCTGATAGCCACAGCGACGAAAATCTTACCTTCTTTCTACATTGTTATTTAGCATTTAAAGCAATGTTTGGCGCATCTATTGTTATTTCCTTTTAAGCATACAAACAATTTCGAATATCGTTTTACAACGATAATTCGAACGAGAGATGTCGCCATTGCTTTTTATAAATTTTAAAGTTTTTTATAGTGCTAATCTCCGCACTTAAGATTGAATGTAGCTTTTTATTTTTCATTTATATTGCCTTTTCTGCTCTCTCTTCCATCCTGCCATTTGTTGTATTATTATTTACAATACGTTGTGTTGTTTTTAAACCATAGTTCTTCGGGCAAAATATTATTCAAATAATTACGGTGGCACAAGTATGTAATGTAAATGATTTATCTTTTGGTTATGAGGGTGAGAGTTGCTCAGTTGATGGTGCTGTTACGGGTCCGTCGCAACATCATAACGTCACGGTACCTTGGTGATCCTGAAGACGCAGGCGAGGCCGTTCTGCGTGTTAGAGGAAGTAATAGAGGTTTAGATTAGGGTTAGATTAAATAAGTGATATAGCAAAGATTAGAAAGTCCAAAGTTATGGATGATTATTCAAAAACTACATTATATTCACAAGACTTTCGTCCCTTCTCCAAATGTGCCCATACCATGCCAACCAACCACCTTATTTTTTCACATCTCAACGTTCCATTCATTGCCACATGCATTTTTCTTTAATTCGTCTTTTTTGCTGCCCAAGATTCAGATCCATACGTCATACCACATCTTTTATATGAATTGATTGATTGATTGAAAAGTTCTTTATTGTATTAAAAGTTTGTACGAAGACGAACTTAATGCTAAATAGTCATCAATATTTTCTTCGAGTTTACCTTTGGTAGTTGAGCGCTAGTTCGTTTATTAAAAAAATGTGAACACTCTATTTAAACACTTTTGTTTATGTTTATGTGACAAAGTGGCGAACGAGCTGGTGGTTCACCCGATGTTAAGTGATTACCGCTGCCATGGACATTTGCAACACCCGCAGGGTTGCAGATGTGTTGCACCACACCACTTGGCTACCTTTTAATAAAGTGGGCAGAAAAGTAACACTTCTACTTCACGCTGGTCTTCTGTTTGATCGTGGTACCAACCTGAACGGATCTGCCCATTCGTGCAACAGCGAACTGATGTGATGCCCTACCACAGTAGATAACACACTAATTAAAAGCACAAACATACAAAATCCATACTAATATTATAAATGCGAAAGTAACAGTATGGTTTTCAGCAAAGAATAAATGAAATACTTTGTCTTCTTATCTGTTTCGGCTTTCAGGAGGTTTTCGTCATTGGAATGGTAATGTCGACCAAAAATACCTGCGACTGTCCCCGGTCCATCACCACGATATCAGGTTTGTTATTATTTATTATTATTGGGGATACTTATTTGTTTTCTCGTCTGGTTGGGTTTATAATTTGTTTTTTTATAGTTTGGTTTTGTTAATGTTTACTAATAATACTTTACTTACCTAGATTACTTACTAACCTAGATTTAAGTCACAATGTTATTTACTAATACTAACAAACTATGGACAATGTAATTAATTTTGTGTATTGTCTGAAATTAAGATTATTATATATATAGATAAAAATAAACATATAGATATATATTGCATATATAAAATAAATATTATGAATAAAAATAAACATATAGATATAAATATTATATATAATATATAAATAAATAGAATTTTTTCTGGCTGTGGTCTCCTGAACGTTGTTGTCGATTGGATCTTAACATTTAGAGCCATGTGATATTTTTCGTCAATAAGCGAATAATAGAAAATTTTAAATCGTTTGTTTTACTGTATTTTGTTGAACTACCAGTTACAATTTCAAATTGATATATTTAATAAACAATAAAGAGTATATACTATGCATCGGATTAATGGTTAAAAAATTCGTTTGCCCTTAACTTTCTTTACGTCAAAAAATTTAAGTTAGCAATAAGAAGTAACTAAGACTAGACTGGATGTAACCACATCCGATAACGAGAATAGAATTTAATATAAACTGCAGTAACAAACGTTATTTGTGAACAGAGATGAGAACTCAAGTGAACGATTAATGAGCTCGCGCGAGTAAACCAATATACCGAGTTTATTTTCCTTGAATAAACACAGGGCAAGCTTTGTTGATGGCAAACAGGGTTATACTAGTAGAGAACTGAAGCTTGTCACAATTAAATCTTTAAATGCGTTTCGCCCAAGTGGACTTAAAATGATTTGGATTGGATGAGCTATCCGGAGATAAAGCTGCAAAAGTT